TTTTTTTTTTTAGTTTGGTAGAGGGTATGTGCGCTTGCCAGAGGAAGAGATAGAAAGAGAAGGTACCCCCCATGGGGGATGGTCACACTTCCGTCCCTCCCCTGCCATCTCTTTCTCCTTTTGAGATTTTGGGTACACATGCACATGTGCCCAGCGTTTTACGAGCTGCTGGGTCTGGGACTGGAACCACACAGCCAGCCATGTGCAGTCCAGCCGCCTGACCCACCACGCCACCCGCTTGACACGTCTCATTTTCTGCCAGTGGTCACCGAGTGAGTTCAGACCTCACAAATCATGCCCACTGCTTCGATGTAGTTCGTGATGGCATGGGGACGTACCCTGGGCTGTCCCCATGGTGCAGGTGAGGGAGTGGAGGCCTGGTGAGAGGAAACAGTGCCAGTATTCAGCCAGGGCTCTGGCCAGAAGTTGAGGGTATCCTGTGTGCGACTGTGTGGCTCGATGCTACCCCTTTGGCACCATCACCCACAGCTGGGGGCCTCCTGCCATCGTCCCTTCCTGAGGATCAGGTGCCTGCGTATGGCACTGGCCGCAGAGCAGATGCCCAGGGCCTGTCCTCTTCAGAGTCAGCACCGTGGGGCTGCTGGCCCGGCTCTCACTCACTGGTGCACAGTCAGACTGTCTGGTCGTGTGCAGCACGCTCACAGCTCCGGCCTCAGACCTCACCTCTCCGGACCCTTGTCTCCTAGGGTTGCTGCAGAGTCTCGTTGGGTTTGCACGTGGGAAATTGTAGTTCCTTCCCGGCAGAGCGGTGGGCTCCCAGGCTCTGCGGTCCGCTAGCGCCGGGATTCCCGCTGGCTATGCTGGGGTCTGGTGAAGATCTAAGGTGTTCCTTATTCTCTCACTCCAGAGATCCCGCTCCAGGGAGCTGGGCTGGGCTGGAGTCTGTGCTTTCTGTTATTGGAGGTGGGCTCCGAGTCTCCCTTGGCTCTCGTTTGCCTGGCTGGATTGACGGCAGGAATTCGTGGACATGGGAGTGTAGAGGTGGCCATGTCAGCGGTCATAGGCCGGTCACCTGTGGTGGCCTGCTGCGGGTCTGGGTGCGCGTGCTCCAGGAGGGCCGCCAGACCAGATTGTCCACTTCTCTTTCCTCTGTGAGAGGCCAGATTTTTTTGTAATCCGCCAATTTTTGTTTGCTTGTGTATGTATTTATCTCGCTTTTTTGCTATCGGACGGGTGCCTGTGCCTGGGGGCAGATGATGAGAAGCCGCCCCCCGGAGGTGGCCAAGCAGCAGTCCCTTCTCCATTCTCTTGGGATTTGGGGCAAACACATGCACCCCTGGCGTGATTTATTTAAGCCTTCAGGTCCAGGACCGAACAGCGAAGTGGGCCCTGTGGGACCCAGCACCCTAACCTCTACGCTCTTGCTGGCCTGTAATTCCCAGTGTTTCAGCATGGCACCAACCTCGCTGCCACGCTGGGGGCCTTGAGTTTGTGCCATCTGCCACTCCGGGCCTGCCCTGTGCTGGACACAGGTGGTCACTGCCCTCCCTTCCCTTGCCAAGGCCAGTGCCTTTCAGGGGAGGCGTGCGAGTCCTCCCCCGCGTCCTGGCTGTGTGGCCCCTCCGGGCTCCGCCTGTAAGCCGGAGCAGGCCCTCCGTGTGCAGCTCCTGCAGCTCCTTGGAGTTGGCCGAACTCGGCAGGCCAGGGGATGGCTCTGGCTACTCTGGGCTGGGGAGGAGAAAGAGGTGGCTCCATCCCATGCTCACAGGGGGTCCATTAGAGGCCTGCCCTGGGGCAGGATCAGCACGGCTGATGTGCACTCCAGCTATGCAGGCCTTGCTGGGCTCCAGTGCTTCCCTGCCGGGGCCTCCTCCCGAGGTGTGGGGGTGAACTTGGCCCCCACTCACCCCCATCTGGATCCCCAACTCAGACCTGAGGGGGTAGACCCTCCCCAGCCCATTCTTCCTACTCAGCTTCCTCTCTCAGATCCTTGCTTCCCTTTTCTCTAAGCGGGCTCCACCTCTCATGCTGGGGGCCGTGGGGGGCCCCAGAGCAAGGGCCTTGGCTGCCTGCCAGACCTTGCAGTCTGCAGTGACCAGCTTCCTGCAGAGCTGGGGCCACCCTCACGGCAAGGTGCAGGGGGAGAGGCGGACTGCAGCCAGCCCACCCGGGGCACTCTGGCAAGTGCTTTCCTAAAAGCTCCCCAGCCTGCGTTTTCTCTGTAAGATGGGATGGCAGTGCCTCCCTGGAGTAGTCGCACCGTGGGAACAGGTAAGGGAGAAGAGGTCGGTCTCACCTGGGACTGGACGTCCCCAAGGGCAGGAGCCAGGTGGCCTCGTAGCTGGCAGTCACAGAGAACTGGGCTCCTGGCCCCTGGCTGCCTGGAGGCCAGTCGTAGTCCCTGGCTTGGGACAGAAGGAGGTCCTGGCCCCTGGTAGGGTGAGTGACTGCTGTCTCCATGCATCAGCTCCCTTGTCTACTTGCCTCCTAGGGTTGTGAGCCCCGGCCCAGCCCCGCCACCCCCCTGTGCCCCCGATGCGACCATGGGCTCTGGCAGTGACTAGGTGGCCACCAACTGCGCCCGTGGGTCAGCGGCGAATCTCTGCAGGACCTGGCAGCGCGTCAGGCCAGCTCTGGGGAAGGTAGGAGGACCTCCCAGCCCTGGTGCTGGGCTGTCCGCCTGGCGGGGGCCCTGGGGACCTGGAGGGCAGGGCAGGGGCCCTGAGCTGTCTGCTCCCCAGTGGGCTAGTACCCCGGCTTCTCTCCCTGCTCTGTGAACAAGCAGCCCCCTCAGCCCTCCCGGGGCCTCCTCTCTGTGGCGCAGCCCCGTTCGCCAGAGCGCCCCAGCCCGCCCGCCTGCCCAGGATGCGCGCTTACCCTCCCAGCAGCCGCCACCCCGACCACCACACCTCCCCGGAGAGGAGCGCCGCGCCTCGGCTCCTGCCGGCGGGAGCCCCCGAATGCTGCGCCCAGCCGCCCAGCAGAGCCCGCTCATGGTTGACCTGCACGAGCAGGTAGGCAGCCACCCTCCCAGCCCGGCCCAGAGCTCCAGCAGACTCGGTCTGGCTTATACCTGTGAGGGAGGCACTGTCAGTCCTGTGCCCTCCACAGGTAGCCTGAGGCCCAGAGAGGAGGAGGGCCTTCCCTGGGGCTACACAGCAAAGACTGGCCAAGCTGGGGTGCCCCTCCCGTTGCAGAAGGGTCTTCTCTGCCCTGGGGGCCCTGGGGACCTTGGGGCAGGGGTCAGTTTGTGCCTAGGTGGGCCTGGCTGGAGAGGGACAGGAGGCTGGCCGGGCCTGGCAAGGCTTGCCGAGGGTACCTGTATGGCAGGCTCCCTCCCTGCAGTGACCTGGCTTTCCCTCCACCCACAGGTGCACCAGGGACCCGTCCCTCTGTCCTACACGGTCACCACAGTGACGACCCAAGGCTTCCCCTTGCCTACAGGCCAGCACATCCCTGGCTGCAGTGCCCAGCAGCTCCCAGCATGCTCCGTGATGTTCAGCGGGCAGCACTACCCCCTCTGCTGCCTCCCACCCCCGGTGAGCGTGTGTGCCCACCTCCTATCCACCCGGCCACAAGCCCCCGGCCCGCAACTCTCCATCCGGCAGGACAGTGCAGCAGGCCCAGGGACCCCCGAGTCAGGCCAGCTGAGCTAAGGCCACAGCCCTCCCCAAAGTACTTTGTGTTCACACATGGGGCGGTGCATTTGGGGCTCGGGGAGCTTCCTGCTTCCCAGTACCTGCCTGCCAGGTTGAGGCTGCGGGACTGTAGAGGACAGTGTCTGACTCAGGTGCCCGAGGGCAGGAATGGGCTTCCAGGGCTTTCTCGTGCAGAGCTGGGGCTCCTGGGTCCATGCGCAGTGGGGCCCTTTCGCTGGGTGCAAGGGTGGCCACACAGGCCCAGCCCAGAGCCCAGAAGAGCGCCTCCCTCAGCAGCTGATCCAGGCGTGCACCCTGCAGCAGCTCCCGGCGCCCTTCCAGGCCTACCCCCACCTCCTCTCCAGTGACCACTACATC